TTATAACTATTAGGAAATTTGTGTTTTTCTGGATTTGTGGTTTATATTATGTCTCTTTCATTAAAATTAAAGGACCGTAAAAATGTGAGACCGTTCCTTTAATGCTCGCGGTGCAGCTGGATGTTCAGAACTATTTCAAAGCAGTGGACAATCAAATATTGCATTAAAAAAACAAAGACGTGCATTTGTTTTCTTCACTGGAATAATGTGATCAAGATTTCTTACTTGATAAAAGACAGTCTGACGTGACCTCTGTTGCACAATCCACAGTGCAGTTCCACTTCTTCCAGTTCTGAATGAAGAATTAACATCAGTGTTTTAACCATGTTTTCTGGGTTAGGACGCCAAGACATGGATTCAGAGAACTGGAGTTACTGGTTTATCGAGAAAAAAGAGATAAATGATCTAAAAGATCTATTTGTTTTTCTTCCAGCTGTCCTTTAATGTTTTCCACTCTGTAGAAAGAATATGAACAGCTTCATTAATGCAATTAGAAATAACTTTTTCACTCCAGACCATCTTCTGTCTGAACTCGTCGCAGGATTCGTCTGCAGGTTTTCACCGCTGAGTGCTCTCGTGAGAGCGGGGCGTTTATCGGGACCTTTTACGGGGACCGGACACATGCTGATTACATAAATGTGTTACGCCTGCTTTGTCATCCTCCATGCATCTGGAATGACCCTTGGCACCGCTCTGCACACACACTCGCACACCGACACGCAAGCACACACAGGATTGTGTTGAGTCTCCAGCACTGGGGATGTTTCATGCCTTGATTGAAGATAAATTGTGTTTCAGATTAAACCAGAAGGAGGGGGAGGGGAGGGGGTGGACTATATTGTGCTTGATGGTGAACTCCTCCAGCTGCAGGAAGAAGGGATTAAAAAAGACCATCTTACACAACCTTCTTGAAATAAACCCGGGTGGCCCCTCACAAAATCTACACTGAGAACAAATCACACGGCTCCACTGCAGCATGCACGGCACCTGTCAGGGATATTTTTTAGCACCTGACTGCTAGTCTCACAGACAAGCATGCATACAGCTAGAAGCAGGCTAAAGAGTGGAAACAGTATCCTAACCACATAACCCAGTTTGTTATGGTCCCCCTGTTGCCAGTACTGACACTTCAAGAGATAGCATACTCAGGGGAGGGCACTGTCACCTTGGATAAAGGCATCTTTTGATTAATGGCTCTCCGCGCGTCACTGGGTCTAAAGAAAGCTTTAGCGCACTGTGCATGAAGCATTTTGTGCACTCAGAGCCTCAGCGGTGTGGTTTTTGGCAGACATGGCATGAGAGTGTAATATCACATCTGATCATTTAATAGTTAAAATATGAATTAGGATCAGAATGAATACAGCCAGGAGAACTTCAAAACTAGTACAGGGCAGGAATTAACAGTTATTCTGACACATCATAATAAACCTGTGTTTTATGGCATACAAAAAATAAAGGGGTTAAGTAAATGTTCAGATTTGGCTGTTTTTGTCTACTCGAGAGATTGAAAAATGGACAATAACCAGAACATCTGAATATAATTGTACCTGACAAGCTGGGATCAGAGGATATTTGACAGCTTTCCGTCATAAAATGACTTAAAATTGTTTCCCAACTTGTTTTGGCGCACGATCACTTAAAGTGAAGCAATGCGGACAAGAACAAGCGTTTCAGCCCAAGAACGATTTCCCTCAAAGACTGTTAAGTTTGAAAGGTTTCTGGGGCCCCAAAGAAGGTAAAAGCTGCTATAATTTTATATTTATGATGCGCAGCTCGGTCTCACGACCTCTAATCTGTTTCTGGACACAAATTTACATCTGTCTGGTCTCATATGCTCTGATTTGAGTCAACATATTGATAATAAATATTTTCCACTGTTGTAGAGTGAAAGAAATTCCACATTTGGAGGTTGGAAGATTTGATAGAGGAATAAATCATTTCCCCACTTGCACCAGACGCCACAGCTAAAGTCATACAGCACACAGATTTTTAAAAATTCATTATTACATTACATTCAACTTAAAACTCATTATTTGTTTAACACTTTATCATTTTAACATGTTTTATTCTTTATTATTAAAAATGATTTAGTTACGTCTAGAGAGAGATGATAGTTTTGCGTAAAATGCAGTGGTTACCACTCTTTTTGTGTTTTCCTGGGTTCCTGTTACAAAATCATGGCTGCAATGAAAAAAACTCGATATCTCACAAATTAATACATTATTGTTTGAGACCGGCCTGATTATATACAGATGCAGAAGTGCTAAAAAGTGCAGTGAGGGAATTTCTAGCATTTCACTGATCACACTAATTAGCAGATCTCTGTGTCTGCAGATGCACCATTACAGTTGTCACAGTCTGGCGGTGGCAGACTGTATTAATTGTGAAGAGTGGACCCAAAATGCAGACACGAAGGAACTTGGACCAAAGCTTGAGTATTAACAAAAAGCGAGCCGTTAAATAAGGCTGGTAAAAAAGGTACAAAGAAAGGGCAAACTGAAGTAAACTAACATCAACCTAAACTGGGAGAACTAAATAAACAACAAGACATGAAACTTGGAAACATGACATGGAAACCTTGGCGTGAACAACAGACGACCTGACCAGGAATGAACAGAAACACACAGACTAAATACACACAAGGGTGATTAGGGGAAGTGGAAACACATGGGGAAACAGCTGACACTAGTCTGACATAAGGAGACAAAGGAAGCAAAGCTGACTACACTGACATAGGACACAGACCTTCAAAATATAACAGGAAACATGTGACGCAGACAAGACAATATAAACTTGACAACATAAGACACGCAGCATGAAACACATAAGGGGCAAAGGGAGAGGGAAACTTAAATACAGCGGTAGAAAACACAAATGGAAACTAATAAACAATTTAGCTACCCTAAAGAACTCACACATATCATCCAAATAAACTAAAACTCAAAACGCTGGGTCAACAGACCCAGGAACGTGACAACAGTTTATGGTTGAAGCCTGCTAAACGAGCTTCCTTCCATCAGATGTTAACTTGTTAAAAGGGGGATCAACAATTCTCATCCAAATATATTCACTACTAGATCTAGAGGGAAAAAACGCTAATGCTAATGTAGAGTCTTACGAGTGCCGTCACTGTTGCTGTAGCCAGCTTTTATTAAACACGTGACTCCCACACGCCACCTGCGACTCTCAAGCAAGGGATGAACGTCCTTCTTCAAATAGATGTTTTCTTACTTGGTGTTTGTTGATGATGGTTGAGAGTAATAACTGCTACCACATGAGTCCAAACATAAGACCACAGCATGACTTGCATTACTTTCATACTCAATGAATTATTTCTGACCATTCTGACCCTTGCATGGGGACAAGGAAGAGCCTTGTTTCTTCAGTCGTGTTTTTAATGACCAGCAGGGGGCGACTTTTAAAGTCCCGTGTTTAGAAATGTACAGGAAAACATCCCTTTGGTTCACGTGCCCTGTGACCTCAGTAAACACAGTCCTGATGAGGTTTTGACTGTTTCAGGTCTTACTGAATACAACATGATATTAAACTTAAAAATTATGCTGACAGTTACAGTAACATAGATATAAAGCAGGACAACCGTGTGACTGAAAAGTTGGTTTTTAAAAAACCAACTTAATTACATAGAAAACCCTCATGTCAAGGCTTCATAAAAGGCGATGACACTTTATTACCAACTTTTATAGTTTATGTCCAAGCCTCATATGTCCTTGGCTAATACAGTAAAAACCCACCCAAGAGGAGATCTATTCAGAGTAATACTGACTATAATAATAATAATAATAATAATAATAATAATAATAATAATTATTATTATTATTATTATTATTATTATTATTATTATTATTATTATTATTATTATTAT